AAAAAAAAAAAAAATCACAGGAGGAGATATCTATACATGCACGCATTTGTACTTTTTAGCCTGTGCATTTGTGAGGCAAGCAGGTGTTTATTACAGTATTCTGCAGATTCTGCTGGTATGCTTTGCTTCCTGGGAAGAAGCTCAGGGCGAAGAGAGAGAGAGAGACTCTCCAGGCCAGCAAGAAGAGATCAGTGGGTATGGATGAAAAGGGGCCAATAGTCGTTAAGCCTAAAAACCTCTCGGATAGCTAACGCTGGTATTTTTACCCAAGTACTGTACGAACAAGGGAAACCTGACATTATTTACTGAGGAAGGGAAGCACGCAGACAGATCAGGTGGAATCCCATTACCAATGCATTAAACAAATAAATATCTAAAAGAATTTGTTTCAATTTGGTGGGCATTTATTGAAAAATAAATAAATCAGGCAGACCCAGGGCCCGCGTGGTGTTCTTTGAAAAATATATCCATTCTCTTTAGCTCTTGCCTAGGATACCATTCTGTCAGGTCCATGCCTTTAACGTTCTCCGGCCTTGTCTCCTCCCGTGTAAAGGTGCTGCTTTTTGCATTTCAGGGCTCATTTTGATCACATATAAAGTCTTGTCCGGAATTCGTCCTCAGAAGTCTGTCGGGTGCCACGATGATGAATTTGACTCCGCACTTTTAAAATATAATGAAAAATAAACCCCCTCTTCAGCATAACATCGAATAATTTATTCTCTCAGCACTCCAGTCTTTCAAAAATACAAATGTCCGCTAGAGAGAATAAGGTGTGTCTCTATATTGTGTGAAGGGGAAGAGGTGGAAAAACTTAAGACAGCAGCCTGGCTTGAAATCTTGGACAACTCTTCATAATTTTCAGTGAGCCAGAATGTAATGAGTCGCCTAGAAACACCAACACACCAAACTGTGGTGTATGGATATTTTTCCCCCTTTTCAGTTTTCAAAACCTGAGATTTTTTTTAAACACACCTTTAAGGTAAACAAATTATTGGCGTCAGGACCAAGTGGCCGCAGAGTGTGGCAGCAGAGTAAAACTTTCTGAAAGGAAGAGGTAGCCAAGACGGAAGACTCCCCACCAACACCACTTAGAGGTGATGGGTGATGATCCTGGAGATGATTGTCTAGTTTAATCTCCCCTGATATGGGTAGCTGAAAGATCTCTGCAACTATCCTGCCCAGCCCTCTCATGCTAATTGGAAAAAAGCTGGGTCAGTTCTAGTTAACTCATAAAATAAATCGGGTATGCAAAACATGCCGTTCGTACATGACTGTTCATTCGTTTCACCTGCTCAGAAAATGTATCCAATGATTTATAAACCAAGAGGAAGATTATAGGGCAAGATATGTGGAGGGCAAAATGTCTTTTTTCTCTCTGGCTTTTCTCCCAGCTGCCAAGGGTCTAATTGTCCTCGAACCGTCGTTCTCCTATACTGGGATAAGATGGGCTAAGGTTTTCTCTATGTGTCGAGGCTTCCGATGGTCCAGGAGAAAACGTGCATTTTTTTTTTGTTTATCTGGGTTGGTTGGTTTTTTCCCTTCACCACAAAGCAGGGCATTGGAACTGCGCTTTATAATGATAATTTTTAAAACCAGAAGACTTCGGTGGCTTTTAATTAAGACTTTTGGGTCGTTTTCTTTTCTCCCCCCCCTTCTTTTTTTTAAAGACTGTTTTAAGAGGGTGTCAATCCAGTTCCAGCTCGAAAAAAGTTGCCTTACTTCGGAGTAAATCCTGTAGCTCTTGGGGGAAAAACCTGCTTAACGTAGGATAGACTTACAGTATTTCTAAGCAAAGACTGTGTCCGGTTTAGAAAAACTGGGTTAGGCTGGTGGGGGTGGAGGGGGGAGGTTGGAATGGGGAGAGGTCCAGGATTTATTTTTCCAATAGAAGAGGTCAGTTTGTCTGGTGTTGTAGCGCCGCTTCTAAAGCGAAATGTGTTTTCTGGCGAAAAGACAGAGATATAAATGTACAGGTTTTGTAAAAAGAAAATTAGGCCACCTGCCAGCAAAGAGAAACAAATGCCTCTCTTTCCCCCACCCCCACCCCCGGCGCTGGTTTAAATAACGCTACCGTGAAAGGGATTGGCGTGGTGTCCCTGTTTGTTTTTTCTTAAATTCCTGGAGAAGATATCGATTTATCATTACTTAGGTTAATGGAGGAAACCCCTCGTCCCTTGGTAGTTTCCACGCACATGGTCTCTCGCTCTCGCTCTTTTCAAATTAACACAAACGGAACTCCAGGACTTGCGGAGAGGCGGCATTTCTTTTGATGATCACATTTAGCCTGTATCGCAAGACTCTCGATGTATATACATCAGTAGTCTGATACAGTACGGGGGGGGAATGTGTTGGGGCTAATCATTTCCAGCCAATTTCAAACGATGAAAACAGTCACCCCACCCCCGCCCCACTCTTAAGTAGTAGCCTTTTCTCTTCGGGCGAATTACAATATAGTCTATACTTTTTCGGCAATGTTACAATCTGTAATGCCCTGTGTGTGCCTGCGTGCGTGCAATGATGTAGTATGAAATTGTTCTGTAGAGGAAAAGTGGGCAGGTGGAAAGATTGATTGATTACATAGGTCACATGGACTTTTTATTTGGAAAAGAAAATCTGTCTTGGCTAAAAGGCTGCTGTTCATAAGGGAAATGCGATTAGTTCTACCCTATATTTCCTTGAAATCTCTGGATCTAATCCGGCGTTTAACTCACCATGAGAGAAGATGTCATTTCACATAACATTGTGTTAATGGATAAATCTCCTCCAACTCTCTCAAGCACAACAAATCTCAAGCAAACGTATTACACACGACCCGGTAAGTTAAACAAGCACCTAGCTTTTCAGGCTTCTTTTAACCTTCTGTCTCATTCAGCCTCCCCATATCACAACTAATTTGTCTAATTTTAATTATTTTGAGAAGGAAATGAACCCACAGGTTTGAAAAATTACAGATCACGTTTTTCCCCCCTAAACCATTTGTTAAGGAAGCATTACTAGTTGTGTATGCTCTCGCTCGCTCGCCCTCGCGCTCTCCTATTTTCCTTAGGGGGAGTGTTTCCTAAACACTTTACAGATTCTTCTAAAAGCCACTTAAATAATCTGGATGGCGGTACATATGTTTATTCGTTCCCAAGGCCTTGCCCTTCCATCCTTATTTGCAGTCTGAGTAGTTTGGAGGTGGGGTGGGGAATCAAGGAGGGCCACCCTGAACTTTGTAAAACACAGAAAGAGACACACACGGGGCAGACACACACACAAAGACTAAGGGCGGCTGGAGCAGCGAGAATACGCTGGAAGAGAAGAACAAGCAAGCCGCGAGTTAAACAGAAGAATGGATACAGCGCGCAGCGAAGGCTTCTGCAGAACCACTGTTTTTCCTATAGCACGGGACAGGTTGTTCTGCACAACTAAGCAGATTTGAAAGCCGTGGGGCGTAGGGTAAGAGCGAACAGAGGCTCCTCTCTTGCTCCTACCTTAGATTTCAGTCCCCTCCTCTAACAGCAATTAGTCGGCGTTGGACACTCTGTAGGCTATGTGTTGTTAAGAAGCTTCTCTTGAGCTTTTAAAAATGTATTTTTAAAAATGTATAATAATACGAACACTAGCAAACTAGACAAGTTGAAAATAGGCAATTTGTTATAATCACAATCCAGTCCAAGGGAACCGCTCTGAGGTCTTGGAGAACGTGGAGTTAAATACTTTTTTCCAAAAACAAAAACAAAAAAACTCCCTTTGAAATAAATTAAGACTTCCAGAGGGAGAACTTTGGCTGCATCGTGTCCTAAATAACGTTACGTAACAAAAACGCAAGATGCTTGTAAGCCTGCAATATTGCTGCCTGGGGTGCATCCCACCCCACCCCGGCCCCCACTCTTTTTTTCCTGCTTCCGAAACTGCAAGGGGGAAAGTCTGGACAGAGGAACGGCCTTAAACGGCGGAGCCTGTGCACTGAGGGTTTTCACGCTTTCTCTCGCTCACTCCATCCTCCCCGGCTTACTGGGAAGAGCAGGTCAAATGCCGTTAGGTCTTCTTAGCGATGCCCAGAGGCATCTCCGCTGCAAGAGCCTGCCTGACTGCCTGCCTGCCTGCCTGCCTTCCTTTCCCCCACCTCCCCATTAAACAAACAAACACGCCGGGCTGCGGGGCGAGCGGGGCAAAGGCAGGACGGCTTATAGCTGGCTCCTAAAACGCGAGAGCAGGGGAGGGGGGAACAATTGCATCGGCCTACTTACTATGCATCGCTGCGAACGGGTCGTGCTTACAGTGTATTTCCATCTGGGCTGGCGGTCCGCGCAGCTCGAGGCGAGCGGAGGCGCTGTTTTTGTTTGTGTTTTCACAGCAGGTTCAGCTAAACTCCCTGGGATCACTTTTTGATTCTGAGCAAGGGGAGGCGGCGGATGTCTGCGCGGGGCGGGCCAAAGGTGGCCCGCACAAATTCTGGCTTTCGTTTGGCTTTATTTTAAAAAGAAGAAGAAGAAGAAGGACCTGCGTGACTTCAAAAGGCAAGATCTCACTCCAAGCCACCAGTCCAAGACCAAGAAAAAAAATCCTCGGGGAAGTTATTCCTTTCCAGCCGAAGGGGGCCGGGGGTGGGGGTGGAACTCGGGCGCTGGGAACGTCGCCGGTTTTCTTGAATCGCAAAAACACACACACACACACACTCCGCCCGGCTCCTTTCCCCCTTTCCAAGCTTGACCGTCTCCTGCTGCAATAGGTTGCCTCCAATGAGTCCCGCTCGCTTCGGCCGCGGCGCCGGCTTTATTTCCCCCACCTCCGGGAGAAAAAAGGCCAGGGATCCCGCCCGGAGGCGGGGAGCTGGGGGACCCGGAGCCACCAAGAGCCTCCCGCCCCACGGGCAGCTCAGTCAACGGCTCCTCCCGGTCCGAGATCGTCCGAAGCGGGTGTGTGGGCGGGAGGGCAAGACCGGATCTCCAGCGAATATTCCACAGCTTTATCCCCCGGGGCTACTTTTCAAGGTGCATCTTTTCTTTTCTCTTCGAAGGTTACGGCAAGGCGGGCTCTGAGGAAGGCAAGGGCTACTTCGGGGCGAAGAAAGTGCCCCGGGCTAGTCTTTTGTCTGAGGCGAAATAGTGCGGCGGGGCGTGAGTGCGACTCTTTCTCTCCCCCCCCCCGCACTCCTCCTTCGCCTTCCTCTTCCTCTTCCTCCCCAGCCCTGTTGGGCAATCCAGGCTGGAGCTCCCT